AAAGACTGCTCATGTAAATCATAGTTTCTCAAATAAAACGTTTTTACCATAAAAACGTCTTTCTAAAACCCACCATTGTGATAAAAACTCAATAATTCAAACACTCATTTTAGCATGAAACTGACATAATACTCACACAGATCATGAATAAGGTTTAATATTCCAAAATACTGAAAACATGGATAAAACTCTATTATCCAAACATCAAAACATGAATAAGATTTAACATTCAAGACCTTAAATTATGGATACGTTCTATACCCAAAACAAATCCGAAAACGTGAATATACACTATCAAAACGACACCTTTCGTTGACGAGGGGACCCGTATCCATCAAATATGGCAAACCCCAAATAAGTCATATATCAACATTAGTGAGCCTCAACTATGGATCACACGATCGTCAAGTTCAACTACCGGTTTGTAGTTTGATTCTCCTGCTGATCCTAAACGTGCTTGTTAGCTAGAAATGCCAATCACTACGTACTACACGGTTATCATGTTCAACCACCCACAGTCTATAGCTTGAGTCCCCCACTACGGATTATATGGTCATCAAGTCCAACTACCTACAAATCTATAGCTTGAGTCCGCCGCTAATAAGAGTTTCTAACAACGATACAGGGACAACTATCCCATTCCAAACCAACAAAAATCTACTTCTATGTCTATGGATTCATTGCATTACAGTCTAAATTAGAAGACTCAAATTGAATGATCAACGCATTCAAAACATATAATTCCAATAAATATGTCATGACCGCATATAACTCTCAAAGCTCAACATAGAGCAATATAAATTGGACAAAAGTCCCCAACACTCATCTAAGTCAAAACTGAGCCAAAAACTCAACCACTAAATTGATTATTCAATAAAATTCAACACAAGCAATTAAAAGCATTTAACCTATGTTTATGCAAATACATGCTCCAAAAGTATGATTGATCCAAAACTCATCATTACATCCTAAAAATGAAGTCATACTATTTTATATTTCCAAAATGCATTATAACATAAAAATATGCATTTTTCAAGTGGTTCGTAGAACCAAATACACTAGAAGTGTGTTTCCATCAAATAATGTTCATTTATATAGTAAATCTACAAAAGGACGTATTTTTATAATTTATTTATCAAGATGTCCAAAAACCTAAAACACAGACATTTAATAAGATTTATAAGACCAAAAGCACCAAAGATGCAAATCTCATCAAATGATCAATACATTTGATAAATATCAAGAAAAAAGAAATTTAAGACTCCAAAACAAACATTTTTGGTATGTACATAGTTTTTACAAAATAACTTGAACTCACCTTTCTAAGTTAAATTAAATCTAGGATCCAAACACCCGTTCTAGCTTCGCAAAGGTAAGGATTTGAGATCTCCAAGCAAGATCCTTTTAAGAAAACTCTTCAAAACCACCAAGCGCTAGAAGATACCAAATATTAACTCAAACTCTAAATCTACCAAGATCTTAAAAGCATTTCATTCCTCAAGTACTAGACTACTAGCAACTTCTCTTTCTCAAAATGTGACCATTTTACATAAAACCCTCCCAAAGATGAACAAAATCAGATATACTTAAATTATATGATTCAAGTCCCAAAGTAGCATTTATGTACTTAAAACACCCTTTCAAAACACATTCTTGATGATCCAAAATTTACTAGCAAAAGGGTAAAAACCCCAAATCTCCCAAAATACCAAAATTTGGTCAAAATCCAAAGATGTAAAATACACCAAAGGGATGTTCTAGGAGACTAAAATGAAGTATTTTGACAAGTATATAAGTTTAGATATGGGTTTGTAAGAGAACCCCAAATTGAATTCAACAATGGTGGAAGGATGATCAAGAAGATGAAGATCTTGCGTTTCTACCCAGAAGACTTGAATCTCTAGTTGTCAATCTCTTAGATGCTCTTTAAGAAACTGATTTGGAGAAAAAAATGTTCTTGGACCGAAAATAAGAGAGAGAGAGAGAGAGAGAGAGAGAGAGAGAGAGAGAAGTGAGTTGGTGAAGAAAGTAATGAAGAAAAAGGATAAAAATCGGATTTAAGGGGTTCTATGCTCTGACCCATTTTCTATCCAAATTTTGTAAAGGGCTCATGCCTACGCAGCTAAAACCTCGTGGCCACGAGCAGTGCAATTTTTGACCAATTTTTGATTTTTCGTCAAATACAATACCCAATCGATCCAACACTCAAAATATTTCGTCAAGGTTATTCTAAGATTAAAATACTTAGAGAAACTTGAGAACATTTACTCAAGAAATTTGGGTGTGATATGTGCTGAGAATTTAACACATAAAGCACTCGTTTTATGTCTTATTAGTTAGAATAATTTCTTTTCATTCCCACTTTGAGTCATTTTTATTTATTTCTTTATACATTTGTTATTATGAAGCTAAATATTGTGGTTGACTTGTTGGTACTCATAGAAGATGCTAATGGTGAGTTTTTGTAAAAACAGCAGGATGCTACAGCATTGGTGCAACATCGATCTGATGAATGTGCAGCTTTTTGGAAGGCTTAATGGTTAAGACGCTGCCTTTTTGTACTAGTGGAAGACAACTGTAAAAGCTGAGTTTTTGGTTAAAAATCTGTAGTTAAGACTTTGGTTAGGCTAATGTACTTTTAGTTACTCTTTTGTAACTATGTAACTTATCTTAGGATGCTTAGCCTCCAAGTATTTTAATTTTTGTCTTTTAGTGCCTCCTTTGGGTATAAAAGGAGGACTTGGAGTTCCAATTTCATCATCCATTTATCCATCAAAACACTCTCTAGTATTTTAATTTACGTTTATGTCTTTACTTTTCGTCATTTTTTTTTGTAATTTACTTTCCGTTATGAATAGCTAAGCTTTTATAGCTTGGGTGTGAGACGGAAATGTAAGATTTTCAAACCAAACGAAAGTAGCTAAGTGTTTTCGTAAACGACGTTCCATTGTTTCATTCGAGTTTTTATAAAATCATGCACACTTCTTGACGGGTTGATCACTTGAAAGTGTTAAAGTGTCATGGACTTAGAGATAAGCCATTGAATGCACGTCAACTTGAATGACATAAGAGTTAGACTTGAGAAAGTTGCCGACAAGGAGACTTGTCATTTATGTTTTTCAAAACTTAACTCTCGACGAGTTGGTCACTCTTCGAAAGTGTCAAAGTGTGATAGATTCATAAATGAACTATCAAGAACACGCCAACTCGAATGATATGAGAATCGACTCGAGAGAGTGATTTTTAACAAAGA